GCCGCCGGTTGGGTGGGGCTTATGCCCCCAAGGCTGGCAGCCAGCCCCGGGTTGTGGGCACCAGGCTGGGGGGCAGGCGGACCTGGGCCATGTGGCAGCCACCGTTGCCGGGGGCACACCTCCCAGACCAGCAGCCCTGCATTGTGGGTGCCAGGTGGGGGGTGTGGACCCATGCTGCTGCTTGGCGCCGGCAAACTTGCAAGCGGCAATGGGGTGGGAACATCGACTTGGTGTCTGTGCCCGTAGGCCCGGAGTGGCCAGGGGCATTCTGGAACCCTGGCCGCTCAGGGCCTACGCGCAGGCCTACAGGCTACGAGTGGTCTGGGTCCCGAGGATGTTCCTGGGACCCAGGTTGCTTGGCGCCTGTGTATGCAAATTAGCTTGCCATCTTTGGGTTAATTTGCATACTCACTCCTGATTGGCTGGTGAACATGGCAGATGGACAATTTACATGTTTCTCTTTTATTATGTAGGATGTACTGTTTGTTGAAGTGGTCAATCTGAATTTAATGATTGTCACAGAAAATTTATAAGAACAACCTTTTTAAAAAATGTGTGTCTTAAATGACACCTTAGGGATGATGAGGAGATGGCTAAACAGTGTTTAATCTAGATCTCTGTGATGTGGATGCACATATCTTCCACCAGCCTGACTAAAAAGGATATAGCAAGGCACCAAGGTTTGATGGTGTGTGCGTGCCAGAATCTAATGACCAGACTACTATTACTTCTGTAACCTCACAGTTCCTTTCAAGCTACTAATAATGCTTTCCTAAAATTTGGAACAATATTTTTCTTACTTTACTCACTTGCAAAAGCAGTTTGGCACATGACATTTAAACAACTGAAATGTTGGCCCCTTGGTTTGTCAATAATTGGCAGCTCAGTTACAGGATGCAGTATAGCTGCCCAGATTTAGAAGAAACAAGTGGAATAGGAAAAAAGAGAAGGGTGAGTGGGTAGATTCTTGGTTTCCTGATGTTTCCACTCAGTAGTACAAAATGCTGTGAAAGAGGAATGGACTTTTGGGAAGGCGTGTTGCCTTTGACTGCCTTTAATCCTGAGCAGCAGTCTCAGTTTCCTACTTACCCTGGCATACATGCCTGTTTTCTATTGTGGAATGTGTTGAGGAAGGCAGCAGATGGGTGTTAGCACTTTGAGGTTAGGCTCTAATGAGAGGCCGCTTAGTTGAGGATGAATCAATTTATGGTTTATAACACACAATGTTAGTATTTCACAGTTGGTAACACTGTGAAAGCCAAATTGTGAGACTTATTGAAAAGATAGTTTAAGAATAGTGTCTTTTTTATGTATTCAGTTCCACCAAACAACAGATTTTCTGACTAGCCTGGTTCCATTTTTCATCTTTATGTTGGAGTATAGCTTCTTGCAGTAGTATACCTCCCTGCCCCACTTTTCTCCACATATGAGTGTACCACACTACATCTTTCATAAAAGTTGTTGCACCAGTTACATTACTGTTGGCACATTATGAGAGTTCCAGATACTCTATGTCTTTGCCAGCACTTGATATTGTCAAAAAAATATGCCAGGATTATAATTGAAATTATATTGAAAATGAAAATTGGGAGAGAACATCTTTATAGCAAAAAGTCTTCAAATCCAGAATATCACACCATTTATTGAACTAGTCTTTAATGCCTAGAAAATATTAATTTGATCTCTAGTTAAAGAAGTCAGATTAAGGGTTACTTGGGGTTGGTGGGGAATGATAGGGAAGGTACTACAGGGGAATGTAGGAATGAGTGCATGCATCTATTAAAACTTACAAAATTCTACACTTAAAATGGAATCAATTTATCATCAATAAAGTCAATATTTAAAAAGAGAACCACTCAAACACACTAAAATAGCTGAAATTAAAAAGACTAACACCACCAAATGATGGTGAGGACTTAGGAGCACTGGAACTCTCATACATTGCTTATATGAATGTAAAATAGTACAACTACTTTGGAAACAGTTTGACAGTTTTACATAAAGTTAAAAACACACTTACCATACAATCCCACAGTTCCACTCTCAGGAATTTGCCCAATAGAAATAAAAACATATGTCTACCAAACACTAGTACTGCTTTCCACTTATCCTTTAGTTTTAGTTGAGACATTTAGTTGTTTCATCCAGGAAGCTTTTCTGAGCCTTCCTCAACTCTTGATTGTGTGGTTCTTCTTTGGACACTTAGCATCATTCATTTAACAAATAAACATTGAGTGTCTTTTATGTGCTGGAACTGTGTTAGGCAATGGGATTAAGAGGTGAACAAAGTTGATATCATTTCTTCCATCATGGAGCCTACAGTCTAGTGAGAAAGGCAGACATAAAACAAATAATCACCAAATAAGTAATTAGCAGTTATATGAAGGAATAGTACATGGTTTTATGTGAGAGTAAACCTGCCTGGATGGGGGTTGATCAAAGGAAAAAAAAATTAAAAAGTATATTACAGAAGCCTTTATGATTATTAAGATGTAGGCAGACAAAGAATGGGGAAACCGCTTTGCAAAAGATAAAGTATTTTCAAAGGCTCTAAGTAAGAAATAGAAGAACTTGATGTCTTTGAGGAATGAAGAAGCAGGCCCATATTGGTTGTAGTATTAGCTCATTATATAGATGAGGAACCTGAGGCTCCGTGGTTCAGTGAATATAGATAGACTATACTAAGGTCATCAATGTAGTAAATGGATAATAAATGGGTAAGTCTAGATTCAAACTTTGAATTTTATGAATCCTTAGTGTTCTTTCCATTACACCTTGCCATTCCCTAGTGAAATTTGTACAAAATCTTTCCAACTATGGTACTTTGTTTCTTTTCCAATACCAGAGAACATTCTCTTACCATTTTCTATTTTTTAGGAAAGTAGATATTGTATGTGGCACTATTGCTGTCAACAGAAAAGGGATAATTGACCTGGCACTAGGCAGAGATGCTTCCATTGAATTTGTGGCTTTGAAAACTGATTTTTGCATTTGACTCAAAGGAGTAATTGAGTCTCCAGAGTTGTTAGGGCTGTGGCATCTGCTATGTACATTAATCTGTGGATCTCTTTGTGTGTGTGTGTGTGTGTGTGTGTGTGTGTGTGTGTGTTGGCCAGTAGAGCATTACAACTCTCAAACTTCATAGCAAGCCTCTTATACCCCTACTGGCCTGGTCGCCCCTAACTGCCCTCCCCTGCTGGCCTGGTCTCCCCTAACTGCTCTCCCCTGCTGGCCTCATCGCACAACTGCCCTCCCCTGTTGGCCCAGTTGCCCCCTACTGTCCTCCCCTACTGGCCTGGTCGCCCCTAACTGCCCTCCCCTGCTGGCCTGGTCTCCCCTAACTGCTCTCCCCTGCTGGCCTGATCGCCCACAACTGCCCTCCCCTGCCGGCCATCTTGTGGTAGCCATCTTGTGACCACATGAGGGAGCCATCTTGTGCAAGGGCGTGATGGTCAATTTGCATATAACCTCTTTACTATATAGGATTTTATTTCCATTCAACAGTATAACATTGTAAACTTGACCCACCTCTAGCAAATATTCAAGTTAATATTTTACAAAATACTTAAACTCCTTTTGATGATTGGTTTCCAGATAGCTGATAAAACATTGAAATGTTAGGTTTATTTCTTTTCCATTTTGATGTGTACATAGATGGGGAAAGGGAGGGAAAAAGTTGTTATGATGCAAAGATGAAGTTGGATAGGATATTATTTTCCTCCAGACAGTCTTCTCTATTACCCTGCAGTGAATTGCCCACAATCTAGGAGGTAACAGCCTGCTTGCTTAGATGTCTTCAAAACTTCCATGTCATGTCACTTTTGTGCAGTGTTGTAAGTAATTGGTGTCTTGTTAGCTTAAGACCGATTTTAGGAATCTATAATAATAAAAGCATAATATGCTAATTAGACTGGTCAGCTGAACGACCTTCCGGACGTCATTCCAGACCTCCTTCTGGACAAAGCCATGGTGGCTGGGGCTGAGGCAGAGGCAGTTAGGGGCGATCAGGCAGGCAGAGTGGTTAGGGGCGATCAGGAAGGCGGGCAGATTGGTTAGGGGCAATCAGGCAGGCAGGCGAGTGGTTAGGGGAGATCAGGCAGGCAGGCAAGTTGTTAGGGGCAGTGAGGCAGGCAGGCAGTCAGACATCCCCCAAGGGGTCCCGGATTGGGAGAGGGTACAGGCCGGGTTGAGGGACACCTGCCCCCCCTCCCCCCTCTCCCCTCCTGCCTCCTTTTGTGATCTGATAAAATTGTGGTGTTGTGTTTATCAAAGAACTTTTGCCCCTATGCTTTTCCCTTTTACATGTTCTTCTGAAAAAAAAATATTTTTATTGATTTCAGAGAGGAAGGGAGAGGGAGGGAGAAATTGAAACATCAGTGATGAGAGAGAATCATTGATTGGCTGCCTCCTACACCCCCCTGCCCCCCCCACCGGGGATCGAGCCCACACCCAGGCATGTGCCCTGACAGGTAATCAAACTGTGACCTCCTGGTTCATGGGTTGAGCCCACAAGTTAGGCCCCTTTTAAGTGTTCTTTAAAAAAAAACAACAACAGTGATTATAACATGAAAGAATGAATTTAGTTCCTGAGCTAATTTAAAAAATTCTTATTGGAGCTTTTCATTTGTGATTTTATATCTTGTTCTTTTCAACCTGAGGAAGAAAATAATATTTAGAAGATTACATAAAGGTACTGAATTTACTTATTTTGATATCCTTAAGCACTGGTTTTGTGGGTGTTTTGCTTGAATGAGGACTGTGGAATTAGCTTTTTTTTTAACTCAAAATTTGGGAGTATTATGCCAAACACATGTTTTAAAATTTTTCTAAAATAAGATTTTATTATAGAGAAATAGAGGAAAATTTCATAATAATATTTTGTATCATTAAGGAAACATTTAGTATTTTGTTTAGACTTCTCAAAATATATTTTTTTCTCTTACCATGTTCACCGCCCCACTGTGATTTACCCCTGAACAATTTTTTGTTTCTGTTTGCAGGCAGCTATCAATGGTGTAATACCCCAGGAAAATGGCATTCTACAAAGGTATGTTATAAGGTGTTTAAAGGTAAGATGGGAATTTAGCAAAGCAAAAAAGAGACATTTGTTAATTTTTTGGTTTCACTTTTTGGTAGAGCATTTGACCTTTGGTATATAAGTTCATTTTAATATAGTTACTATTCTTTCAGATATTTTTTATTAGTTATATTTGCTAAAGTCTCAACTTTCAACCATATAATGTTATTTCAGATTGTGTGATATTTTTAAAGGTGGTTCTATTTTATTTTTAAGAAAGCTTTTCTAGATCATCATCTAATTTGTAAGATGAAGGAACCGAATCCTTTCAACCATTGGTAGTGAGAAAACAATACATGGTTGAATAGTGTCAGAGCATGGTTATCATCTACCTACACAGGCTTTATCTCCAACTTCACTACATTCTTTCTTTTTCTTTCTCTTTGTTTCTAAATTAAGTACATGATAACTTGCCATAATTTCAGTAAGTCCTAAAAATGAAACTTCCCAGAGCACTGAACTTCTTTACTTGAAGAATCCAGTATTGACATGTGGAATGGTCTTCGTGGTTTTGTGTTATTGCCAGAAGATAAAATTGGAAGATGATGCCAAGAGATCTATAATTGTTACAAAATAATTTCTTTAATTAAAAATACACTTATAACTTTTCTCTCCTAAAATTGGAGACTTTCTAGTTTTGAATTAAAAGAGCACTCTATAAAGTCATAGGAGGTAAAACCATTCTCCCTTCCAAATGTAGTTTAATTGCTTGACATCTCCTCCTTCCTTTTCTCAATTCAAACTTTGGCTTGAATTTTGGTGGCTGGGATTTCTAAGTCACTGAAGCGTGATCTGCTAAGTGCAGATGAGGCAAACAGAAACAGCAGACTAGAAATGAGGTTGTTTTGGAGAGGAAGAAAAGTGCTATTGCAAAAACATAAAAAATTTCACAAGGAACAGCAAAATGTGCTGTACTTATAAGAAATTGTGTATATTTAGAAAGGAAGCAAAATTCTGTTTGATACCTGTATCACCCTTTGATTAATGGTTTTTAGGTGAAAGCAATGATAAATGGGCCTATCCTTTCCCCCTTTTAAAAAACTGTCAGAGTTTCATCCAGAGTAAATATAGCTCATTTTCAAAGCTTGTGCTTAATTTTTTGTTTAATCTTTTTTTCTTTTGGCTTCTAAAACATTTAATTCTAACCTTGTCTAGAAAGCAAACCAGATGATTATAGGAGCCTCCTTCATGATATTTTTTCTTCTTGGTTTAGAAAGTTTTAGACTGCAAAATATGTTCCAGTTTTATTCTTGAGTAAATGTTATTTTGTTTTTTGTGCCAAAATTTTTGCTTGCTAAACCCTTGTGGATTCAGCTGCTGGGTTCTGAGTACATACTGGATATATCTTACATTTAATGGTATTTGCTATGGATGAAAGAACTGTAGAAATTCCCTTATCCCCGGAAACATCCCATCTCTCTTGTTGCCGGTGATACTTTTTGCTTAATATATTTTGTAACTAGAGATTTATGAGTGAATTGATTACTATGTAATTGGTTACTGTGATATTTGGAGTATAACTTTCATCAGAGTGGGTTGTTTTTGTTTGCTTGTAAAATGAAAGGAATTAATGATGTCCACAGGAGAAAATCAGTTGTGTCTAGTAACAGTCTTCAATTATTTTCCTTCCTACTAACTTTTCTTCTTCAGCTTTGAAATCACTGTGAATTCAATATAACTGAAAATTATTCTGTATGGCTAATGGAAAATGAAAGAGGACTTTTTGCACTTACTCATAGGCTTAACACTGAAAGTGGAAGACACAGTGCTAGGAATGGTATATGGTGGCAGTTAAAAGGATATTTGTATTGTATGTTTGATATTTATAATAAAGTTGAGTATAGTCTGTGAATACAAGTGACTCTTAATTTGCCAGTTTATACATTAACAGAGAAAAGAGTTACTAACAAGAGTTTAAACAAACAAAAGAATTATTTTTGGAGGGAGAAGAGCCCAATCCCTCTGCTTTATAAAATTTTTTGAAATCAGATTTTTGTGTGAATTTAAAAGTGGGAATATGGTTTTTAATGTATCCGTAAAGTTTACAGGCAAAAAACCCTCTTTTTTAAAAAAATAATTTTTTATTGATTTCAGAGAGGAAGTGTGTGGGGGGGGAGATAAACATCAATGATGAGTGAGAATCATTGATCAGCTGCCTCCTGTACGCCCCACTCTAGGGATCTAGCTCACAACCCCAGTATGTGCCCTGACTGGGAATCGAACCGAGATCTCCTGGTTCATAGGTTGATGCTCAACCACTAAGCAAAGCCGGCTGGGCAACAACATTTTTTTTTATGTTTAACTTACTGTGCTAGGTAATTGACATATTTTTCCTTATTTAATACCCATTACAAATGTTAAGAGGTAAATGTGTTTGTGTAGCATAGATGAGGAAACTCAATGTTAGAGGGTTTAGACTCATTCAAGATCACAGGTGTAGTAGGTAGTGAAATCTGGATTATCTTTTAAAACCCATTCTCTTTTATATCACTCTGTTCAAGGTCAGGAAGCCAGTCATGTCACAACTTCTGTGTTAAGATTTTTTTAGCTTGGGTAAAAAAGTTGAAATTTAATACATGTATATAACACCTTTCTCCCACAGCTTTGTTTTTACAGTTATTATTTTAGTTGTAAGCAAGTAAAGGCAGATTATTATCCCTCATTTTACAGGTAGAAAGAATAAGGCATGAAGTGACCTGGCCCAGATGATACAGCCTGATGTTGATGGAGTCAGGAATATAAGCAAGTCTTCTGTCTCACCCTCTAAGGCTTATTTCACTAGACAATATGTTGCTAATAAAACATATTTATAAAGTGTGTAACTTATGCAGTCACAAATGTAAATCATTCATTTAGTCAGTCATAAACACCTAGTGAGTACATATACAGCTATTACATCTTGGTATAATATTTTATA